TATTATGTTTTATTTGAATTATTTTATTATGTTTTTTAGTTTATTATTTTATAAAGTTTTATTTTATTAATTTATTATGGCTTATTTTAAGACACTGACACACAGACAACAACAACCGCCATTCGCCACTAAGTGGCGGTGACGTCACCACGACGCTTGTGCCAGGCTATGTGCACCTTGAGGCCACGTGAAGTGTCGAACGCCCGCTGGCTGATGCACCACCTGTGCCCCCTACTGTGCCAACTTGCTGTGCTTTAGCCACCCGGCGCTCCGCTCGTTGTTGTGAGCGTCGCTCCTCCGCCCTCCGTTGTTATTGGAGGGCGACTGCCTCCAACTGCCCAGTAGCCTCAATGTGCACCTAGCTTGGCACAGCCCAGTAGCGTCCTTCACGAGCCTCCTCCACAGAGGCCGATCTTGACACCGCTGGTACCAGTCATCGGCAAGTCCACTCAGCTCCACGTCCTCCTGTACCACATCACTCCATCTCTTCTCCAGCCCGTGCCGCGCCCGTCTAGCCCCCTCGATCCGGCCGAACAAAAGCTGTTTAAGCATGCGGTGGCTGGGCATGCGGGCTACATGACCCAGCCAACGCAGCCTTGCCTGCCGGAGGAGCTCACCGATGGGACTTTGCCCAGATCTTTTAAGGATTTGTGAGCTCCACACACAATCCAGTCAACATCTACCACGACCTCCTGCGTACCAGGCGAGGTAGTCAACATCTACCACGACCTCTTGCGTACCAGGCGAGGTGGTCAACATCTACCACGACCTCTTGTAGACCAGGCGAGGTAGTCAACATTTACCACGACCTCTTGTAGACCAGGCGAGGTGGTCAACATCTACCACGACCTCCTGTAGACCAGGCGAGGTGGTCAACATTTACCACGACCTCTTGTAGACCAGGCGAGGTGGTCAACATCTACCACGACCTCCTGTAGACCAGGCGAGGTAGTCAACATCTACCACGACCTCCTGTAGACCAGGCGAGGTAGTCAACATCTACCACGACCTCCTGTAGACCAGGCGAGGTAGTCAACATCTACCACGACCTCTTGTAGACCAGGCGAGGTAGTCAACATCTACCACGACCTCTTGTAGACCAGGCGAGGTGGTCAACATCTACCACGACCTCTTGTAGACCAGGCGAGGTAGTCAACATCTACCACGACCTCTTGTAGACCAGGCGAGGTAGTCAACATCTACCACGACCTCTTGTAGACCAGGCGAGGTGGTCAACATCTACCACGACCTCTTGTAGACCAGGCGAGGTGGTCAACATCTACCACGACCTCTTGTAGACCAGGCGAGGTAGTCAACATCTACCACGACCTCTTGTAGACCAGGCGAGGTAGTCAACATCTACCACGACCTCCTGTAGACCAGGCGAGGTAGTCAACATCTACCACGACCTCCTGTAGACCAGGCGAGGTAGTCAACATCTACCACGACCTCTTGTAGACCAGGCGAGGTGGTCAACATCTACCACGACCTCTTGTAGACCAGGCGAGGTGGTCAACATCTACCACGACCTCTTGTAGACCAGGCGAGGTAGTCAACATCTACCACGACCTCTTGTAGACCAGGCGAGGTAGTCAACATCTACCACGACCTCCTGTAGACCAGGCGAGGTAGTCAACATCTACCACGACCTCTTGTAGACCAGGCGAGGTAGTCAACATCTACCACGACCTCTTGTAGACCAGGCGAGGTAGTCAACATCTACCACGACCTCTTGTAGACCAGGCGAGGTGGTCAACATCTACCACGACCTCTTGTAGACCAGGCGAGGTGGTCAACATCTACCACGACCTCTTGTAGACCAGGCGAGGTAGTCAACATCTACCACGACCTCTTGTAGACCAGGCGAGGTAGTCAACATCTACCACGACCTCTTGTAGACCAGGCGAGGTAGTCAACATCTACCACGACCTCCTGTAGACCAGGCGAGGTAGTCAACATCTACCACGACCTCTTGTAGACCAGGCGAGGTAGTCAACATCTACCACGACCTCTTGTAGACCAGGCGAGGTAGTCAACATCTACCACGACCTCCTGTAGACCAGGCGAGGTAGTCAACATCTACCACGACCTCTTGTAGACCAGGCGAGGTAGTCAACATCTACCACGACCTCTTGTAGACCAGGCGAGGTAGTCAACATCTACCACGACCTCTTGTAGACCAGGCGAGGTAGTCAACATCTACCACGACCTCTTGTAGACCAGGCGAGGTAGTCAACATCTACCACGACCTCTTGTAGACCAGGCGAGGTAGTCAACATCTACTACGACCTCTTGTAGACCAGGCGAGGTAGTCAACATCTACCACGACCTCTTGTAGACCAGGCGAGGTAGTCAACATTTACTACGACCTCTTGTAGACCAGGCGAGGTGGTCAACATCTACCACGACCTCTTGTAGACCAGGCGAGGTGGTCAACATCTACCACGACCTCCTGTAGACCAGGCGAGGTAGTCAACATCTACCACGACCTCTTGTAGACCAGGCGAGGTAGTCAACATCTACCACGACCTCTTGTAGACCAGGCGAGGTAGTCAACATCTACCACGACCTCTTGTAGACCAGGCGAGGTGGTCAACATCTACCACGACCTCTTGTAGACCAGGCGAGGTAGTCAACATCTACCACGACCTCTTGTAGACCAGACGAGGTAGTCAACATCTACCACGACCTCTTGTAGACCAGGCGAGGTAGTCAACATCTACCACGACCTCCTGTAGACCAGGCGAGGTAGTCAACATCTACCACGACCTCTTGTAGACCAGGCGAGGTAGTCAACATCTACCACGACCTCCTGTAGACCAGGCGAGGTAGTCAACATCTACCACGACCTCTTGTAGACCAGGCGAGGTGGTCAACATCTACCACGACCTCCTGTAGACCAGGCGAGGTAGTCAACATCTACCACGACCTCTTGTAGACCAGGCGAGGTAGTCAACATCTACCACGACCTCCTGTAGACCAGGCGAGGTAGTCAACATCTACCACGACCTCCTGTGTACCAGGCGAGGTAGTCAACATCTACCACGACCTCCTGTAGACCAGGCGAGGTAGTCAACATCTACCACGACCTCTTGTAGACCAGGCGAGGTAGTCAACATCTACCACGACCTCCTGTAGACCAGGCGAGGTAGTCAACATCTACCACGACCTCCTGTGTACCAGGCGAGGTAGTCAACATCTACCACGACCTCTTTTAGACCAGGCGAGGTAGTCAACATCTACCACGACCTCCTGTAGACCAGGCCAAGTAGTCGTCAACTCACGCAACTCAATCAGCCATGGACCACACACAGCGCCCCCATTGACATCGACTCGTCATTTATTTCCCGTGACACCCAACCGCGTGGACACGTGACACCTCACCGCGTGACACGTGACACATCACCACGTGGACACGTGACACATCACCACGTGGACACGTGCCCCCCCATATCGCGCCGCGTGATGGGTGGTGGTGGGTGGGGGGTGGGTGGTGGTGGGTGGGGGGTGGTGGGTGGGTGCGGGGTGGGTGGTAGGGCTGAGTGGTGGGTGGGTGGGTGTGTGGTGGTGGGTGGGTGGGCGGTGGGTGGTGGTGGGTGGGAGGTGGGTGGTAGGCGTGGGTGGGTGGTGGGTGGGTGGGTGGTGGGTGGGTGGTGGGTGGGTGGGCGGTGGGTGGTGGTGGGTGGGAGGTGGGTGGTAGGCGTGGGTGGGTGGTGGGTGGGCGGTGGGTGGGTGGTGGGTGGGTGAGTGGTGGATGGGCGGTAGGTGGTGGTGGGTGTGTGGTGGTGGGTGGTGGGTGGGTGGGTGGTAGGGCTGAGTGGTGGGTGGGTTGGGTGTGTGGGCGGTGGGTGGGTGTGTGGTGGTGGGTGGTGGGTGGGGGTGGGTGGGTGGTGGGGGTGGGTGGGTGTGTGGTGGTGGGTGGGTGGTGGGGGGTGGGTGGTAGGGCTGAGTGGTGGGTGGGCGGTGGGTGGTGGTGTGTGGGCGGTGGGTGGGTGTGTGGTGGTGGGTGGTAGGGCTGAGTGGTGGGTGGGCGGTGGGTGGTGGTGGGTGGGTGGTGGGTGGGTGGGGGTGGTGGGTGGGTGGTGGGGGGAGTCGTGGCAAGAAAGCATGGAGTGTTTTTTTTTTTAGAGAGAAAACGTAAATCGTTAATTTAAATGAGAAATTTAAAAAGTTTTACCTACTCCTCCCCCCCACTAACTACCCCCCACTAATCCCCCCCCACTAACTACCCCCCACTAACTACCCCCCACTAATCCCCCCCCCCCCACTAACTAAAACTAAAACATCTCAAAGGGCGCGCTGCCCATTAATCGGTCCCGGGAGAGGCGACAGGCGGGTGAGTGGGTGGGTGAGTGAGTGGGTGGGTGAGTGGGTGGGTGAGTGGGTGGGTGGGTGAGTGGGGGTGGGTGGGTGAGTGGGTGGGTGGGTGAGTGGGTGGGTGAGTGGGTGGGTGAGTGGGTGGGTGAGTGGGTGGGTGGGTGAGTGGGTGGGTGAGTGGGTGGGTGAGTGAGTGGGTGGATGAGTGAGTGAGTGAGTGGGTGGGTGAGTGGGTGGGTGGGTGAGGGGGTGGGTGAGTGGGTGGGTGAGTGGGTGGGTGGGTGAGGGGGTCAGTGGCAGGGTGAGATTTTTCTCCACTTACATTGATTGTTAAATTCACTCTGAAACGCTACTCAGTGGCACTGCTGACCACAATCACCATCTTCACCACCACCACCACCTTCACCACCACCTTCACCACCACCTTCACCACCACCACCTTCACCACCACCTTCACCACCACCTTCACCACCACCTTCACCACTTCCTCCTCCCTCCTAGACGGTATATATACGTGTGTATAGGTGTGTGTGTGTATATAGGTGTGTGTATAGGTGTGTGTGTGTATATAGTTGTGTGTGTGTCTGTGTGTGTGTCTTTGTGTGTGTGTACACGGTTTATATATATGTGTCTGTGTGTACACGGTGTGTGTCTGTGTGTACACGGTGTGTGTCTGTGTGTACACGGTGTGTGTCTGTGTACACGGTGTGTGTGTGTGTGTGTACACGGTGTGTGTGTGTGTGTGTACACGGTGTGTGTCTGTGTGTACACGGTGTGTGTGTGTGTGTACACGGTGTGTGTCTGTGTGTACACGGTGTGTGTCTGTGTGTACAAGGCTTATATATATACGTGTGTGTATACGGTGTGTGTCTGTGTGTACACGGTGTGTGTGTGTACAAGGTTTATATATATATACGTGTGTGTGTATATATGGAGCCGTTGCAGAGGATTCTACAATGGTCTTCATCCGTACAAAAAGAAAAAAAGTGTCCCTCCACTCCGGTCCTGCGACACAGAAACACACAGACACACACACAGACACACACACAGACACACACACAGACACACACAGACACACACACAGACACACACACAGACACACACACACAGACACACACAGACACACACACACACAGACACACACACAGACACACACACACAGACACACACACACAAACGCTGCGGTTAGTGTGGAGTAAACATCACCACTGGGGGAGAGACAAAGGCGGCCGGGCGTGGTGGTGTAGGTGCTGCTGCTACTCACTACTAACAGCACTTGCCCCTACAGTCCTGCTAGAGGCTACACGGGGGAGCTTTGTCTGTGTATAGGTGTAGGTGATGGTGTAGGTGGTGGTGTAGATGATGGTGTAGCTGGTGGTGTAGGTGTAGGGGTGTAGGTGATGGTGTAGGTGATGGTGTAGGTGGTGGTGTAGATGATGGTGTAGCTAGTGGTGTAGGTGTA